GAAGAACGATAGAGTGTGACTATAAGTCCCTATGTTTTTATGTCCTTCACCGGAAACGTTCGTCAATTATGCGAGCCTTTATTACATCATTTACCAAATAGAGGGGATTGTCTGTATCCCTCCAATATTAAAGTTCATCAAGTGTCTTCGTGATTGTCATTATGCAGCATTAACTAAAATAATGTTTGTGCTGTAGGTTCTTACTCACAATTCCCTAATGACAGCAGTGATGATTATCAATTATAAGATATTCATTTGCCGAATAATTCGTGCAATGCAGCATTATATTTTTCAACCAATCGCTTAACATTAGAAGGAAGTGACGATGCTCCCGCACGAATGATGTTCACTAAATCCAAGTTTTTGACGGAAATGCAACGAACTCGTAAGTTATCTAATCACTCAACATGTTCAATCTCATTCAAACTACCAGCCCAATTTTCATTCTCTGGGAAAGAAACCAAGACACTGTTTTCAAAATAAACACATTTCACCGAACCAACACTTCCATGTTTCACTGAAGCTCGCTTCTTTGTGGTAGACTTTAATCTAACTAAGCTACCGATAAAAAATGGAGTGTTTATAGATTTTATCGTGGCACCTACGCTAAATGTCAGAACACCTACAATTCTCTCAATGTCCGTCTTTATAGTTTTTGCAGGCTCAAAGTTAACCTTTGTTGGTAGCTCTGTAACATCTTCCATGCTCTTTAAAGACGGAATATTTTTATTCATTTCGGTTACTGACACTAGAAATATCGTATTGTTTTGTTTGCTCGCAGATTTTTTTACGTTATTTATAGATTCCTTGTTCTTTTCAATTTCATCTCTTCGTTTGATTATCTTGTGTTCAATTCTTTGAGTCTCCTTTGACTTCTTTTCATCAATCTCTTTCAAATATTCATCCGATATATTATTAATAACATATATAAGGCTCTTCCTTTTTTCATCGATTTTCTTTTTAGCATTCTCTGTTGCATCTTTGAACTCTTCTAACGACTTTTTAAGGACATCTACTTTCTTTTCGGCTTTATGTATGTCAATTTCAAACGACTTAACCTTGGTGTTGAATTCTGACCTTTTTTGTGACCCAGCTTCGTCTAACAAGCAGAAATCGTGTGTTTTGTGTGATGATGTTAAGCATATACTACAAAGCAAGCAGGAACACTTATTACAGAAATAAAGGAATCTCTCATTATGTTTTTCGCAAACGGGTGTTTTTTCTTCCGGGTTGATTGTATGGGCATGTTGAAAAACGTGATGTTTACACGGTTTTGTTTTTAAGTGTGTTATTTCACATACGTTACAAAAATACTGCTCACAGTCTACGCAGAACCTGTTTCCTGGGGAACTTTCACATATTTCACAAGACTTAATAGGACACTGAGCCATATCCAAATAACCAATATTTACATAGAGACACGCCACCTGGTGAAAAATATGAGCGTTTGATGAAACAAGTAGCTTTCTCAAAAAGCTTTTGTTTAGAGCATTTCCTTAGTGTCTTCAAAATATTTCACAAGTAGGGTCAAAGGTTGCTTGATACTGAGCCATATCTAAATAAATAAGATTCACACTGACTGTGAAAAGTATGAGTGTTTATTTTAAGACAAACATAAGTATAGTTTTCTTAAAAAGCTTCGAAAAGTTTTCGAATACCTAAATCACTATTACAATACCACATGCGTTACTTTCAAACAGCTTTTGTTTTAACCTTATCTGATAATTGGCAAAAACAGATTCCGAATACAAAAATTTAACAAATCTACACAAGTTGAATGCAAGCTCGCATTTAGCAGCCCATTTCTCCCTTTTATATAACTCTTTTAAAAATGTGATAGAACTATATGAATGACTAAAAATTCACGACTAACTTTTTGAGTACATCAATATTCGTGTATTTCTTTAGTAAGGACAAAAGACAAAAGACCTTCAATTCTTGCCTATATTCAAATTTTTGTGGACCTCGAACAGAGCAGTTATAGAAACTACGAAATAGCTTCCTTTTTCAATAACTTTAAAGTTGATGCAAACGAAAGTACATTGATTGATTGAATTTTGAGATTTTGCCTAAAATCCTGTTGTAACTATTTATGTATAATCAGGATGAGAACAACGAAACACTTAATGCAATATCTATATTGTGCAAGGTGTATAGGCCGACAGAGTTGAAGGACAGAAAATGTTGACTGCCACAGGAAAATAAGGCTATGTAGGGAAGAGCAGAAATTCTACCTAGAAAAGAGCCACATACGGACCACTCAGACAGTTACTACAAATACATGTAGTCTTTAGGGTGCACAAAGCATGGCCCTGGTCCTACAAGAATCTGTAACTCTACATACCGAACGGGGGATTTTATATGTTCACGAAGAATTCAATTTTCACCAAATCTATATTTGTTTAAAAATTATTTTAAAACACCAGATCGGGGTTAAAGTGTTAACGTTACAACAATGGTTATTTAAACCATGAAAAAATGTCAAAATTAGAAACAGCTATCATAATTGTCCGATTAGCTTATGATTTACAAAAAAAATCCTTTTAAATTAGTTTTTAATAGTCACCTGTGTTACTTTAACGGTTTCAGGCTTCATTTGAAGTTATGTCAGGTAACACACTGAAATGATATCAGGTCTACCAACAGACCTTTATGGATTTGTATACATGTATTTAATACACAGCAACCCAATTTTACTTAAGGAAATGCCTGTACCAAGTCAGGAATATGACAGTTGATTTTAATTCGTTTGATGTGTTTGAGTTTTTGATTTTGCCAATTGTTAATGGACTTTCCGTTTTGAATTTTATATTCTTTTTTTTTATTTTACTTTATACCATTTTATATAGTTTAAGCTATTATGTACGGTTAGGTGTATACTTTCAATCTAGGACTTGCTTAACATCACTGTATCCGTGTGTTTCATATAATTAAATGTCCTCATTGGGTATGTTATTTACTTTTTTATCCCACTAGTGTATAGTGTATTTTAATCCTGTGTCTGATCACAATCACAATTCTGCTGCATCCGTTGTAATGCTGCTTCTTGAATACTAGTCACCCACAACTACCATTCAGAGGAACTAGTTTACTATCCTGAACTACTTGTTAACTTTTAACCTAGTTGGTAGTTTGGCTTACACAGTATTAATCCATACCAATACCAACAATTTTGTTCACCATAATTTAGGAAACAAAACTGATACTCTACTTTGTAACAAAATATATTTTTATGAGACCATGTGTTGTGTAACCAGCTGATGAACCAGTTAAGTTAAGTTTACCATCCATTCCAAGCTAAAAGTCTCATAGCTTCATCTCAACAGGAATATGTATTCAATCTTCTACAATATAAATATCAAATGCTTATCAGACAATCCAGTAAGTGTCCAAATTAAAGTTTCTTCAAATCCAGTGTTGAGAAAGAAAATGTGTAAAAGGCGGACAGACACCACGACACTATCCCGACCGAATAACTGAGGTCGTAACGAAAAAGGACGGAAAAAAGTAATAGCACGCCATTCAAGTTGACCATATAGTTTCGGTCCAAACCCAGTAAATTACAGTGTAAACTAATATTTTTTAAATCCCAACAGAGTAATTCAATGAATAGTTTAACCAATATAATCACGTACTGTCCTGTTCATACTTCACATTATCGGCTCTGGGCTTTTTGAGCAATGTTATTTGACTTCATGCTTCACGTTATCGGCTCAAGGCTTTTTGAGCCATGTTATTGGACTGCATGCTTCACATTATCGGCTCAAGGCTTTTTTGAGCCATGTTATTGGACTGCATGCTTTACATTATCGGCTCTTGGCTTCTTGAGCAATGTTATAAGACTTTTGGGCTTCACATTATCGGTTCTGGGCTTTTTGAGCAATGTTATTGGACTTCGTTCTTCACATTATCGGCGTTAGTTCTTTAGGTAATGTTATTGAACTTAATGCGTCACATTATGGGCTCTGGGCTTTTAAGGCAATGTAATTGGACTTCATGCTTCACATTATCGGCTCTGGGCTTTTTGAGCAACGTTATTGCATATCGGGCTTCAAATTATCGGCTATGTGCTTTTTAGCAATGTTATTAGACTTCGGGCACCACTGAAAGGGATGAGCATTGCACTGATTGGGCCCAAGACTCCAGGTATAGGGCTCCCTTGTAGGTATATAGATCATCCATATACGTAGGCTCTGGGACCCATAGCAAATGTGGAGCCCTTGTTGTTATAAGAAAATACAAACCGACTTTTTTGCATCAAAAACAAGGGATAACATGTCTGTTTAATAGATACTAACATTATCCATGCACCTGAACTCATTCTTTGTTCCATGTATGCAAGTGATTCCTATTACTTCTACCCGAACCTATTCTTTATCTTCTTTATAGTAAAAAAATATCTATTTTTTATCTTTTTGAACACTAAGAATTTCTACCCAATGGCACCAATAGCCTTAGGCTTAGCCGTATTTGGAACTACTTTATGGAATACCTCTTCAATGCTCTTCAACATCGTTTTTCATTTAACCTTACAACTGTTTTGATTGATTGATTCGTGTTTAACGCCACCTTCAACACTATTGTGCTATTTCGTGGTGGTCAGTTTTAATTGGTGGAGGAAGTCGGAGTGCCCAGGGAGAACCACCAACAATAGGAAGGAAAACTGACAATCCTATTTAATTAAGATTGGAGTCGAGTGCACCTGCCCCGTGTGGGATTCGAACTCACAACCTCAGTGTTGACTGGCTAGTGATACAGTAGTTCGACTACTTAGACCACTCGGCCACCGAGGCCCCACCAACTGTTTTGATTTGAGTGCTACTGATGATTTGTTTATATGCCTGCTTCATTGATTGATAAGTTTACTACTACTATTTTCCTCAGACAAGCAAGCTTTTCATTGTATTGTTAGTTTGTGAAAACCAAAATCATTTTATCATTGAATGAATGATTAATAAAAAATCATATTTTGAACATGCATGAACAATAAAAAACCATCAGTCTTTTCTTTGGTTTATTGTATGAAACAATACTTGTTCAAAATTTCACTGCATTGACTTAAAAAAGTTAAAACAAAACATTTAGAACGATGTGAGAATGTTGTATTGACTAATCGACTGTTTATAATGTATATTTGTAAGTGAACTTAATGTCTTTCATTCTTTCATTGTAAATTCTGTCAAATTCTTCATTTTCTGCGACAGTAAAATGGTTCTTCCAATCTCCAACTTCACCTGCAATAACAAAATATAAATAGCAGTGTACCAATATATATCGACCAGGTATCTATTGCTCGATAATTATTTAGCAACGCGACTAAAATGTGATATGTGCAGACTCACACATGGACTTAAAACTAATATACCTTCTTCTTTGGAGTGGAATACAGGGGCCTTGGTGGCCCAGTGGTCTAAGAAGTTCATCTAAATTATCACTAGCGTGTTAACACTGAGTTTGTGATATCAAACCCCGCATATGGCAGGTGCGCTCGACTCCAATCTAAATTGACCACGTGGCAAGGTGCGTTTGACTCTAATTTAAATTGACCACGTGGCAAGGTGCGTTTGACTCCAATCTAAATTGACTAGGATTGCCAGTTTTCCTGCCGAAGGTCGGTTGTCCGTTCATAGTACTCCGTATTCCTCCGCTAATAAAAACTAACAGCCACGATATAACCAAGAGTGATTAAAGTGGCGTTACAGACCAAAAACTAGTTATTGGATCGGGATATAATGATTTAATTATTGTTACTCTTTGCAAACACGATTTAAGAGAACAGTGTTAAAGCATAGTTTCTGTAAAAAGCTGTAAACTAAACATGCATTGTGTGCATTAATTAAAATGATAGGTGATCAACGATGAAATTAAAATGCTAGATACATCAATAAGATTGAAAAAAATGTGATTCAAAGAAATCCAAGTTATATTTAAAACGATGCAAATACTGTGTTTAAAAAGTTATACGAAGGACTAAGAATAGCATATTTTAAGTGCATCGAAATTGGTTATTTCATTTGTTAATAATTGGTGAAAATATTAAGTGAGCATCAGTACTGAAGTCAGTAAAAACATACGACCATGACCAACGAAAGAAGACGAACAAACATGCATCAGTCTATTGAAAACACCACGAACAATGCATGATTATGATTGAGGGACATAAACGATAAAAGATTAGAATAACCCTTTTCAACTGAACACATGAGAAAACATAAGGGTTTTGTCCGCAATATGTATAATTACAATATATCATGCAATTTGTTCCTATTTGTTTTATTTTACTTGCTCTTATTCAGAGCTGTCAAATCAAAGCATGCTTTAATGGCACAATCCTAGATTATAAGTGCATGTATCAAAGTATATTTGAAAAAAAGGAAGATGTGTGGTATACTTTCAGATTACAGGCGAGAGGATTGGTTTGCTGACATAACTATGTCTTTAAACGGAATTTGGCAGAAGATGCCAAAGGCACAATAAAACACAAAGACAAACCGACAAAAATATGGCAAAAATTGAAATACGACTAAAAGACAAAAACAGACTACACAACTCTACACAGAAAGATTAAAAATGAGCAACATAAGCCCAATTAAAAAATATAAGCGTTTTATTCAACTTTTATTTAAATAACTATGATAGAACTAGTTGTGTCTATGACAACATTTGTACTATAACAGTAGCCACTACAAGTAATAACTACTGCTGGGATATTTATATTTGATGATTTATATGATTGGTTTTACAGAAGCTGTTGGCCCTTTCTAATATACTCATGTTCACATTAGTTCATCTTTGGTAAGTGTTGATCAATCCTATAATGAGTTGTCTGTTTAAATTTCTAAGAATCCTGGTTGTTCTGACATTTTTCATATTTGTAGTATGTTGTCCTTTAGACTGGTTCCCTTTTCGTCATCTTTTTGGCTCAGCCAAAAGGGGTTACTAAGATACCCGTATGCCGCAAGTGAGAGCAACAACCTATTCGTCCTTTTTGTCTTATGATTTTGTTCGCTGGTATACGTCATCATACATAAAAAGTATAACAAGAATCACCAAACAATACTGAACGGCACAACAGACTACAACGACCATGAACACCCGACTCCTTAAAATTATAATCAGACTTACAAACACAATCAAACACAAACGAAGACCATATTCATAACATCCATTTATTTTTTTCAGTTTGGGACAATTTATTTTAAATAAGTTTTACCTTCAGTGACATAAAGTTAATTTAGTGGCTCTCGGCTAATATTTTAAAATATCAACTTACAGAACACACGAAAATCTATGCATATTGCAAAATAGGTTCTTTGAACATACAATAAAATTGAGAATGGAAATGGGGAATGTGTCAAAGAGACAACAACCCGACCATAGAGCAGACAACAGCCGAAGCCCACCAATGGGTCTTCAATGCAGCGAGAAAATCCCGCACCCGGAGGCGTCCTTCAGCTGGCCCCTAAAAGTTTAGACTAGAATGTTAAGAAAATTCTAAAAGAGGTAGGCCTAGAATACCGTGTTTTTAAATAATTATTTCCCTTTTCAAAGGTCTACCTCCTTAAGAGACATAGGATATTTCAATTTTATGTGACATGAGTGCTTAGGAAGCATTGAGGGAACCAAACTATTAAAAAACGAATCACTGAGTTTAAGATTTATCTCCATTTATCCGACCCATTCACACAATCTGTACATTTTGTATTAACTATCAATAACTTTACCTTTTCTATACATAAATGAAAATGCTTGCTTCGGAACTCCTTCAAGAGCAGCTACTTTGGTGTTATCAGCTTTCTTTAGATTATCAAAGCAACATTTATCCACTACTTGATGTATAAAGTCGTCAGCTCTGTTAATACCTAAATACTTCACGATTTTCCTCACTTCATCAACTGGGTTCTTAATAAAAAAAAAAAAGAAACATGCTATATACACATACACACTATTTATACACATACTTGTACACATCATAGGCAAGTCATACACATACATGTACACACCATATGCAAGTAGTGATCGAAAGTCGATATTTGGGAAAATTATTTATTTTGAATTGAATTTATCCCCTTTGCAAACTTTTCAAATATTATGCATGTCTTCTAAATGATACACCAGAGTGAATCTCTATTCCATTTTTAGTTGTTTTGTGTTTTTAATATCTAACTTCAGAAGCGTTACCTAACCTTTGGCAGGCATGTTCGGTCAGATAATCTTTCTGTTTTAATGTTTGATTCGCAAGAATACAAAACGGTCGAGAGGGCTTTCGGTAGTGGCTCATAAAGTTTTTTTTTTTGATAGACGATAGACGACGTTGAGTGAACTACTTTATGCAACCAACAAAATGGCGGCGCTAATAACACAAAACAGCTCGACGCTAAAAAATATCATCGTTAAATTTAATAATCAGAGGCGGATTTAGGAGGCGCAAAGGAGCCCCTCCCCCCTTTTATTGTGGGAAATAGTTGGTTGATTATATAGGAAATCACTGAAGCATGAATGAAGAGCTCCTCCTCTTAGGCAGTCAGTGGGTCCCTACTTATGAAAATTTCTGGATTCGCCACTGATAATAAACACAAAATATTCATTTGAATGATAACAAGATATTTTTGTAGTTTAGTTTTCCCTATAAATGTATTGTTATAGATTCAAACTAATCCTATAGTGTAAAATGATATTCCTCGGACAACTTTCAGCGATACAACAACTGACGCTCAGTCAACTCTCAGAAGGGTATAATTCATTACCAAAGGAATTCCAACTACTTGTTAAGTTTTGTATTTTTACATCAACTAATTAACCTGTAAAAAAGGTGTATTCCAAATGCCTTACAGATTTCATATCTTCGTAGTACACGTTGTGTATTGGTAAATCGGTTTGGTCATATAACATTTCTTGTAGTTTCTTGGTATAATAAAACCAGTTGTGGTTTGTGTCTGTTTCTGAAAAAATAATAAAGATTAATTAACTACATTTAATTGAAAGAAAAGTATGATTATTGCATTGAATGTCAACAGATACCAAGGGCCAATCATAAATCAAAAGTTAAAAAAAGACGGAGACAGGAAATTATGACGTAGGCAACAGTCCACAAAACACTAGATGGAAAAATCAAAATTCAGCAGCACGTGTCCCGACATAAACATTAAGTCATGCTTAGGTGCACCAAAAGTGGTAGAGCAGTTCCGACTCCAATAATGACACCCGTCGTGGTACCTCATTAGAATCTGTTTTTGTAATAATCAGAAATAAAATATAATCAGTATGTAGATTCGTTAATGTCTAACCAAAACCGTAACAACATTTATAAATTGCACTGAATATTGCCTTTAAAACAATAATTATCTACAGTTTGTATGCTTAAAAGGCGAGGCCTAGTGACAAAGTAGTCTCGAGTAGAGTTTATTTACAGTATCACTAGTATGTCAACACTGAGGTTGCAAGTACGAACCCCGCAAGTGCCAGAAGTGTTCGACTCCGGCCGGCGATCCTACCAAGTTTTTCTGACGAAGGTCGTCGTTTCTCTATAAGAAATTCCGGCTTCCTCCGCAAAAAAAAAAAGAGAGAAGAGGACTGAAAATAGCGTTAAATACCAATATTCAATCAATTAATACATGATCAAATATGCTCTCAAACACTGACGCGGTAACACGATTTGTCAATTCGTTACATATATTTTTCAAGCAATAGAGATGTCTCGATATTTCCTTATTAGTTAGACATATTGTCAGATCCCAGCACGCTTCCATATATTGTGATAAAACTTTCTTTTTTTGTTCAGAAGATCAACTGAAGATTTTGTTCATTATAAATCTAAGATCTCATAAATCAAGGCAATTCCAAAGGAAGAACTCGGCAATCAATTAATCATTAAATGCAGGACTTCGGGAATGTTCGGATAGCCGACGGAAGTTGTAAATTTAGGATGTTTGCTGACTGTCATTTTAAAATAAAACAATGTCATAACGCTAAAGGCAACAATATAATACCCAAGACTAGTACAATCATTTCTAATATACACATCAATACATATAAGAACTAAGAGAATCACCTGAACTTTAAACGTCTTCTAAAATATTATGAAAGCATCAACCGCCATTCAAATCCAAACTCAGTCAATATGTAATGATTTGAAAAAGGACACAATTGGACAACAAAAGATGGTTCACATTGTTAATGATAAAATTCTAACCTAGCTTCAACCATGATGACAGGAATTCACTAAATGTAGTTT